TTATTTCCATGCAATTTCATACCAACTACAACACTTCAAAAACATTTCACCTAACATTTCATAACCTTGGAACCTCTGCAGGACATGAAGGACATTCTTGACTTTTAAACCCAGCTCAGAGGAAAACCTAGTCCATAATTGGCTTTTTAGGACTGCTTCTAAATGATACCATCAGAAAGAAATGTTTGCCTTCTTGGTTTGCCTTAAGAAAGAGGAAAAAAAAAAGGAAAAGAAAAGCAATTCTTGAAAACAAAAACAGTATCTGTATTAATGTTTAGTAGATAGCAACTTTTTTACCATTCTTAATCTAAACATTAAGTCAAGAAATAAGCAAAGAAGAAAATCTGGTATGTTTCTAATTACATATCTGTGTTACAATAATCTGATTGAAAAATACATTCCTGTAAATACAAACATCTTCAGACTACAGTGTAAATACATTACTTTTATCACTGTAAATTCTTGCATTTGTTTTCTATCCTACCCCATACAATTCCTATCCTCAGATATGGGAATAAGATACAAAATATAACTTCCTCTTGCTACACAGGAGCTTGTCTGGATTTCTTTGAGATCTGTTACCCACTACACTTTCAACAGAAGCTTTAAGCTGAACAGAGCAAAGATAAAATTTTAAAATAGATTCTTGGACAGCTTAACTAGACCTTCCTGAACCTGACAGCCTTGGCTTAGCATTAGGGAAGGCTCTTGTTTTACACTGTCTGAGACCGAGATGGTCAATTAGCATTAGGGAAGGCTCTTGTTTTACACTGAGACCGAGATGGTCACCCTACTGAACACCCTGGGCTACGACAGGCCAAATGGAAGTAAGGAAAACACTTTTAGGAGGATATAGGTAAAAGGACCAGCAAAATGTGTCACAGCATGCTGCAGAACAGAGCAGCTCCAGACCAGAGTCACTGGCACTTCCTGTTTTGATCAACTGATTCAAAGACAACATGGACTTCTGGTTACTCCACTCCTGGAAAACACTTGGAGCACACTGACCTGCATTTCCCAATTGGAGTTTGAGGCTGAAGTGGCTCAGCCTGTTTGTTATGGAATGAAATTCCAGCAGAGTTTGCCACCAAGGAAATTCAGTGGCAGCTAACCCAACCTTACAGAGTAATTGCTTTGTAACAGGAACGGAGATCTTATACTGTCTTGATGGCTAATAAGAAAACCATTGCAGGAACACCACCTCATCACTGGCAGATTTCCTTCTGAAACACTTGGCACGTGTTCCTGGCTACTGAAAAAACAAAGTCCATCACTTGAGAAAAGATGGTTCAACTATAACCCACTTGGGAGGAGACAGAAATATGACAACTCCATGGACACTAGAAGCAGAAAAACAGGAAGCTATTCCTAAACTGTCAACTGAAGTTACTGGTTCGGTGGTGGTACAGTAGAGGTCTTTAATCTCCTTCTATCTGATGCCTTCCTGCAGGCAAGTCACACTTAGGGAGTACTTTACATTTTAATGGGAAAGGGGTAAAGTCATCCCAAGTAATTTTCAATACCACAAAGAAAACTAAGTAACCATATAATCAAAATCTTGATGGTAAATAAAGAGACACCATGATACAGGATACCAGTAGCAGAAGGTAATTAGGCATACACAGCCATACTGATTAGGTATAATATACTAAGCTGTATTTCTCCAGTTACATTGTACTAGGAATGCTGAAGACTTGCACTAATTCACAACTGCAATTAAAAGACAGACATTTATCCTACTAAGATACCAGAAAATTTTACTGTGTCTCAAAAAGTATAGCAGAACTAGGAAAAGTACAGAGAGATTCCATATCAAAGAAAGATTAAAATAAACCATCTTGAGAACTGTCAGAGAGATTAATTATACTCTTCATTGAACCTTAACATGGATGAGATAAACAGAGATTTAATCACACTTTCTTTCTATACATCAACTAGGTACTAAAAAATAAATTACCAGGCAGCAGTTTTAAATGCAAACAAAATGCACCTTTTTTATATAACCAACATTTAAAACTAAAGCACTAGCTTTCAAAGGGTTTCTTGGATGTCAAAAAATACATCTGAAAGCAGGTCAGGCTATGAAGTACAACACCACTAATCCCTCACTCAGAAAGTACAGAAGAAGTTTGATCAACACCTGGGACAATGTACTCTGTCCTCATTTGGTATATAGTTTGTCTCTCTTTTGGCCTTGGTAAACCTATTTTTTGTCTTTTTTCTTTGTCACCTTGCTATCAAAATTCAAGTACAAACACATGAAAACAGGAGGTAGAACATATATAGGAACATAAATTATTAGCAAAATTATTTGGTTTTATTTGGTTCTGAGAAGCTCACTTCTTGCCATTTGTGTGCTTGCTGACTTGCAATCCCATAATCCTTAGTAAAAACAGGACAAGCTGTACCAAGATAGGGAAATTCTGTGGTGGAGTGGTGTTGCCCTTTTATTTTTTGCCAGATCATTTATTTATGTACAGGGAAAGCATAAACAACCTCCCTCCCTTAATTGTTGCTAATACTATCACTGTTTTAGAAGATGGGATAAAATGGCAAAAAAAGTTAACTTGTGAAAGTAGTTTGGGGGTGGTTGGGCAGGTTTGTTTTGTTTTTCCCTTTCAAAAATACTATTGTATCCAGAGTTTTCAACCCAACTATATATGCTTATGCCCTGCCACCTGCCACCAGAAAGCTTTTGTCCCACCGTATCAGCAAAATAGCAACTATTAGGAACAAAAGCCCTTCTCTCTTTCACTCTACGTTCTTTCCCTCTACGTTACAGAAGGGCATGCACCCACTTTTCATTTCAACTCAGGATAGCACATGAAAGACACATAAGAGCACTCATTTATACATGGTGTCTCCAAGCATTACCCTCCCTCACACCTCCTATATGAAAGGAGTGAGATTTCTCATTAATAATGTTTACAACTTTTCTTACACTACTTTTCTACATACTGAATCAGGTCTAAATACTTTGGGAGTGGGATGATTGAGAACAGAGGACAAAGTGATGAAAGAACTCTTTTGTGATTACTTATTCTCTACCATTCTCTAATCCTACCAAACCCTGATGTTTACCCTAACACAGATTTATCACAGCCCATGGATTGCTCTTCTCACTGGCTGATGTTGTTCCAGTATCCATGGAAGACCTTCTAGATCTTTGAAACTATCTGATGCTTCAGTTAGCTCTTGAAGTACACAATCTTCTATTAGTATGCACGTGTTCCCCAAACACTTCATCTCAATTTTGAAATTTGCTTGTAATTTCAAGCCTGAGAATAGAAACTGTTCTTTATGGCAGACAAAGAGTGATGTTTCAAGACTGTGCCTCATCTGCAGACTTCTATTGAGAAACAATTTGAGAATTGTTACTTATTGCTTAACTTCCTCTCTCATAGGAGGAGAAATGATCTGCACCCCTACTCTGGGAGAAAAAAGGATAAGTTCTTGGGTTTGTGTCTGTGCAGTCTGTAATTTTCAGCACTCACTTCAAGTCTTTTACTTTTGAGTAGTACACAGGTATGTTAAATCTATGCAAGCTGTTGCTTTGTTTGCAAGATACAGAGTACAACTGGCCTTGGAATTACGTGAAGTCTATTTAGGAATATGTGATTGAATAAGAAATAGTATTTTCTTCTTGTCTTGTAACATAAAATAATCTGACTAAAACAGAAAGGTGAAAGAAAGTAACATACATTAAGACATTCATTCAGCATGTAGACCAGATTGATCTTCTTCACCTCAAGCACTGTAGATGGACTACAAGTTTTGCTCTTGTCAACATGAATTTCAACTTTACAGTTTGGTGAATTTGCTTATGTTGTGCAGAAAATTACAGGTTTTGAGCAGTAAGTCAGCTAAAGATGTCAGCAATAAGTCAGCTAATATCTGTTAGCTGATTTAAATGCTGATCTTTCCCTGGGAGTTTTTTCTCTAAAATTTGAGGATACTCACTTCTTTCTGTCAGTCAAACATATCAATGTCAAATGTATGTTAAAATTCCTTGGCTCATCTCTGTAAGTGAAAGATGCACAGTCTTTCTTGAAAAGGGGTTAAACACCTGTTTGTAACAGTGGACAAAATCTGCAAGATAACATAATCCGAGATGCAAACTTCCTCTGAGAATGAGCAGATGGTGACTAGTGAAAAGTGCTAGTGTAGGTCTCTGAAGCTGTCCCATCTGTTAAGGAGACCACATTTCTACCCAGATGGGAAAAAGTTAGAGAGGCCAGCAGCATCACAGCTTAAAAACCACTGTATGTGGGCATTGCCTCAGCTACAGCTAAGCAAAACTGAACAGTGAGAAGCTTTATACATGTAGGGTGGCCAGTGATCACTATCTGTTTTTTTAAAGAGTTATGGTTGCAGAAGAGAATTCTGAAATTTGTCAAAAATGTGACATTTCAGGATTATTCTACTGATCTTCTTAGTTACATAAAGGAGAAAAGCTTCAGACACCACAAAGCAGCAAACTAGGAATGAAACACCCCTGTCACATTAATCAATCACATGAATGCCTTTACGATATCGAGGCAGTGGAATTTAAACCCCATCACATTTTATTAATAGCAGTAATAATAAAAAAACAGTGTAATAACATTTTGTACCAATCAAACACTGCCAGAAGAAAAAATGCCCAACAGGCATGTCACTTAGTTGTGTTACCAGTCCTTTATTTCAACTAAAGCACAATAACCACAACCAGACAGGTTGTACTGAATAAAACGTGACTGATGTGGTTGCTTTTTTTAAATGTCTTTCTACAACAGATGTCTCTGTAGTTGATACTGGGGGTTTTTTTGTTTGTTTTAGTTTTGTTGGGTTTTTTTTAATGGAAATATGGACAGAGATCAAACAGCTGTTTCAATATGGTACTAAAGACTGTCAAAAGCATAAAAAAAGAAGGCTCAAGTTTTTGTAAGAAAGATACAGTGACTGCTTATCATATGATTTTTATCCCTGAAATTGTGAAATACAATTTTGCATGCATTGGCCTTACCTCAGAATTAGGAAACTGAATGAAACAGTATTGTACTTCAAGCTTCCTCCAGACTGTTTTCATCTGTATTTCCACTTCATTAGTTCAAAGGTAATATTATGGAAATGCATATTTCTCTGAATCTGTAAAAACAGGAAAATAATTTTAAAGATATCTGAAGAAATTGTATTGACAGTTTATAGTGCATAATGTGAAATGTGCACTGCAGATACTGGTATTGGGAATTACAGAAGCCACCTATTATTACAAGCTGCTCCTAGCTATATATATATATATGTATTTTTGTAAAATACTGACACTAAAAACCATTTAAAATAAATTTCATTTCTATCATTAAGTCACTGACTTTTTTTTTTTTTAATTCTATACTTTAGTTTAAATACAGGCTTGCCTTAAGAGGAATGGTGATGTTAGGGAGGAAGGGTGTTTAAAATCTCTTCAGTTTTCCTATGAAAATTTGTGTCTCCCACCTCTCCCCATAATTCTTGGCTTCACAACAAAAATCCACTGGTGTCACCCAATTAGTTCCAGTACATAAGGAACTGCAATAAGCTAAGAAATAATCCAATAGTTTTATTGTAGCTGCACACAGGCATTATTATTCCTGAGAAGAAAAAGGAAGACAAGAATTTGGAAAGAAGTGCTGACAATACGGTCAGTTGGATTTTTGTGGTTTTGACCTGATGAACATCCAAGCATTAAAAGAAAGCATGGCACAGGCTCTTACCCAACATTCTACAAATTGTGAGCAAGCCTGACTTGTGTCAAGTCCCAAAGTTTTCAAATACATTGTGGATAGCTAATTTGTGCTTAGCAACTTTACTACTTAGATTTCATCCTGTGCATATGTCACCCAATGCCAGTCCTTCCCATGTTATCAGTGTCACAATCTGAAGGTTTCCATCATCCAAAGCTTTCAAAAGCATCACAGAAAAAAAAAAAAGTAATTTAGAAGGTCCAGTCTTATGACGACAAACAACCTTGAAAGTAACACAAAGGCTTAGCATCAGTAATCCAGCTATACTGCTAAAAAACATACAACCAGTCTTACAAGGTGGAGATGTAATTACTGATTTTTGAATGCCAAGGCCAACAGCACTAGGAACAGGGATGGACAAACCATGTGCCTGCATGATTTCCAGCAGAGCAAGATGTCAGCATTCACTTCTCTCTTCCTTTCCAAGCACCATAAAGACCTTCACCATTACAAGAAGGTCAGAATACTTCTGTCTCCATGTCCATTTATAAGCACTGTTCCTCACACATTGAGGTTTAATAGTCTTGGTAATAAATAATGAATTTGTGTAAAATGGTAACCTGAAACCATCCTAAATATCAGATAACACCAGTTCTTAAAGACAACTGTCTCCACTAAGCAGACAGGCTGACACTTGACTGTTAGTCTTGCCATGCAAAAGTGTTTGAGGAGATTGTTTTGCTTTTTTAAAGTAAAGAATCTGCAAAATATATTCACCTCTCTCTCTAACCAAGGAACTCGAGTTCCATCTTCTGTTGGACTCCAAAAGAAGCAACTATAAACAGAAAAATGTTAGTGTGCTTTCTGACTTTACACCAACTCCAGTCCGCCTGTATCTTGTACCTAATTTATACAAAGACCACTTTATATTATTTAAAGATGCTGCTTTTCAAGGGTAAAGACATTTCTGAACAATAGTGGTCTTCTTGATTGTTTGTTTTTTTAAACAATGTCCTCCTGATATATTTTCCAAACTCCTTCATAAATAAAATTCTTACTAACTGTTAATTTCAATAAGCATTCATTGCATTTCCTGATCCAACTCCATCTGTCAGATATCCAAACTCTCTTACCAAACAAAATCATTTTAGTGAACTTCCTGATCTGCATGATTCTATGTATGTCCACATCAGCATTTTAATTCAAATCAGAACTGCACTTTTGAAGTCAATTTCCCAAACAACCCTACTTTTCTTGCTTTGCTTTACATTGCAAAGCAGTCTCCAAGTACATGAACCAGATTTTTTTTGAGTAAAACTAGATCAGAGAATGAGCTTCAGGTGTACATTGTACACACTCCAATCACTAACAGGAATTCAGCCACAGAATCAGATGAGGACTAACTTGAAATAAAACCCTCACAACCTGTATAGCATTGAATGCCAGGTTCTCAGCACCTGACAGTTCTGATCCTATTACACCACACTGCTTGGTAACGTGGACACAGCCTCTTTTATGACTTACTGAATGTTTGTGTCAGTTCCAAATCCAGCTTCCCCTTTTTTAAAAGTGGGTCTACAAAACCCCTGTCACAAATGGGACGAAAGTTAATTATAATTAATTTATGCAAGTGACCTCCCTGTGTTAGTATTTCTTCCATTTCTTTATTGGTATGAGATGATACTCAAGAACATACTTAATTTTATAAGAACCAATTGATTTAAATATTTATTTTTTAGTTATTTATTTTTTAGTTAGTGGATTCCTCTCTCATGTCTTCCCACTTATCTCTAGATCTTGTTTCACTCCTCGGTAGCTCCAGTTCCTGCAGCTCCAAGTTTTTAGCTTCTTTTGATGCTAAAAACTTTCCTGGCACTGGACTCTGTTTCTCCAATTCACTTCTCCTTTTACCCAACTGCCTCACTAGGTTTCAGTTGAATTATTTTATTATCATAAATAAATAAGGACCTTGCTACTTGTTACAGTTGGGAAAATATGCCAAAATTTCAGAATTGTCCATTATCTGGGAGGTGGGATGGTTGGGATATGTAACTTTCATAACTTCAGCATGAATTACAAATTTCACAAGAGATGTAAAACACCAGAGATAGATGAAGGACATTCCTAATGTGGCTATCCCAGTACCCTGACAAATCTTATTGTAGAATAAGCACCACAGCTTTTTGCCCAGAAATGGGCAGGAAAGCTTGGCATGTGCGAAATCTGCAATTGCAGGAAGACAGGATGCTCAGAAGGGCTTTACCTTTAAATGAAAACTGACCTACTACAGTTCTTAGAAACAGAAGGGTGTAAATGGGAAATCTTGGTGCTATTAGACATCTCTAACTCAGGTGTGCATTTTAAATGCAAAATTATAAGTATTTAAGGAACAAAAGTTTAGAAAGTAGCTTTAATTAAAGTAAAATAACCGTTAAAGTAAATAAGTTGCAATTAACTATATAATGATACAAGGACTCATTAGTACAGACTATGGGTTAAATATTTCTTCATTCTCTCCAGTTTCCAGTTACTTCTTCCCTGCTCTTTTAATTCCTCTAGCCACCAGTGCTTCACTTCTGCAGGGTTAGCTGTCCAGCTAATCATACCTTTATCCCAACTTCAAGTTCAGACCACATCACATAGATAGACAGATAAATCAGAAAAAAATCCAAGGGGCAATAACCTTCAGCATCCAAGATTTGGGATGGGAGCAAAGGGGAGAAGGGAGAAAAGCAGGCGGTGCTAGCAACAGACCCCTGTATGCAGTGTCAGCGTTCAGGGCAAGCTGCTGGCTCTGTCAGCCAAAGACAGGAGAGATTTCAGAGCAGAATTATTCATGTCACGTCAACTATAGTCCTAAACAAAAGGGGTTTTGTTATAAATCTGTGCACGAAGAAAATACACTGCAGGCCTAGATGGCAGGCTAGAAGATGCTTCAGTTAACAGTCTCATGACTGATACTAGAAAATTAACCAAAGTTGCTGCAAGTTAGAAGTAGGTCTGAAAAATACTGAGTATACTGCTTTTAGAAGTCTACATTTGAGTGGCATTTTAAAGGGAAAGCAGCCGTACCAAATTTTCAAATCCTACTTCAAAGTTTATGTCAAGAGATATGAATTTCTTAAGAAAAAGCTTTTTAAAAAATGCACATGCTGGGAAAAGTAAGCCTCATACTGCCTGTTGTACATTGGGGGCCTGGTGGCTTTGTGTAACAGTGAAGGTACGTGTGCAAGAACCTTTTGTTGAACAACAACCCTTCCAAATTCCATGGGACTTCTATATTAAATAAAATCAGCTACCTGAACAAGCAAAGTGTTCCAGCCTTTGGACACCAAATTTTCAAGGTAGCAAGATAGGAAATGAACCTAAAATCTGGTTCAAACACATTTATCCAATCCTTGAGGCAAGCTAATTCAAAATTGTTCAAAATCACTTAAGTAAAAATATATGCCTGCATTTCCTTGTGTTTTAGTAAACAATCACAAAGACATTCTTGCAAGGTATTAAAAATGCAAGGAATAATACAGCACATCCGTATTACAGTGGTTTGGCCTTTCTATATACCTCATCAATACTTTCAGATTAGTTCAGGATATCACTGAGCTGATCTTTCTAGCACTTCTAGGTTGTCCTTGGAAAGCCTAGTTTTTATTGCCCTTATTAACTACTGCATAGATCCTTCAGAGAAGAAAAAAAACTATAACAAGTTGTGAGGAGGTTTGCAGAACTCCAGAAATATTACCTTGGACCAGTTTGATGAAAAAAAGGTATCCTGCTGAGATAGAAGACAGTGTTTCTGCACAATCAAGCTCCTGGAACATCACTGACACAGGGCACATCTAGAAATTTTAGAACACAAGTAAATTCCTAAGTAAGGCACAACTGCACAGTAACAGATAGACAGGATGCACTTTCCAGAAGGACATGAATCTGCACAAACCACAATGCACTGCACTCTTCATAATATCTAGTGGCAGAAGGAATTCATTACTGGGGCCATGAGATTCCAGACATAAGGCTCTTTAGAGCCATAAAGACAGTTTGCCTTGGTTTCTCCTTTGTCCTGGCAGATGTAATTTCCTATAGTAGAAAGAATTTAAACCTCCTGATTTCTTAGAGGATTATCTTTAATATTTTATTTCAGCACACATCATCTGGAGTCATTTGAAGAACCTCACAGTCTGATGTGCTGTGAGAGCAAGCTCTGTGCTCCCAGTGAAGCTGCAGTATTCCTCTTAGTCATCTCAAATGTTCTTCATCCCATGAGCCAGCTGAAGCAGAAAAATCAGTTGACTCTCCACACTTAGGAGCTAAAAGGAATCTGACAACAGCCTGCTGTTAAAACAAAAGCTGTTGCATAGTAGGCCACCCTCAAAGGCAAAGCCATCAGTCTGCAGTACTAGTGATGCAAAGCCAGACAGTTCA